CTTGCAAAGATTTGTATACACAGCTTTACAGATTAGATATAATTTGTTAGTGTGAGTTCTATAATAGATGAGTTGTATGTGTGTGTGTATATATATATATATATATATATGTATAATACTGTATTTTATTGAGGCGATTAAAGTCACGCCTGTAACTTTTGCATTGTAACCTGTTCCCCCAGGTTGGTGGGGTATATTTCTTTAGAGAAATGGAAATAAAATAATATAAATTACCGAATTTGCATGATAATCTAATTTTTAGATGTTCCGTGACTGATATAAAAAAAAATCATTGGATTTCAATGAAACTTGGTACATAGATGTCATAGGACACTGCACAGACCTGATAGTTTTTAGGGTAATATCAGTACATATTAATTAACTAATTTGCATAATTAATTAACTTTCAGCTTTTGTTATTAACTTGGTACAGAGATCGATTGTTTTGGGGTAAATATATTTGTGTAATTAACCAATTTTCACACTGGTATCTAAAGTACTAATTATTCTATTTCAATGAAATTTGATACATAGATGCTCAAGAACAATGTACAAACCTGATTAGTTGTGGGTTAAAATCTGTTTATAATAATTCATAATTTCTTGGTTCTAATCACATTTCAATGAAACTTGGTACATAGATGTTCTGTTACATTGAGCAGACCTTATTAATTTCCTGATTTGCATAATTAGTTTTCAGCTTTTCCATCAATATCTCAAGTACAAGTAATTTCGAATTATTTTGAATGTGTCTCCAATACTCAGCACATGGGAGTTATTCTAAGCTTTCTTTTTTGAGTTGACAATGACTTGTTCACTTTCTTTGTTACAGGTAGAAGAATTAAATGCAGCGAGTGCTGTTGAAGTTCCACTTCCATATGGATATATTGAAAATATATTCAGTTCCAGAAAGAGAACTAGTATTTGTAAATGAAATGAGAATTAATCACTATATTCATTAAATCTTAATACAAGGACTACCGGTATACATGTTTAGTTGCAAGTATACATCATTTACTTGGAATATCAAAGCAAAGGCTAGAATGCATTTTGGTAATTAGTCTCTGTTCCATCATCTGATCTAAGATGGCTTACAATAACACTAAAATCAGGTATTTTACACAAGATTGTTGACATAATTCATCTATCAGGTCGCTAAGGTACTACAAGATGTTTTTTGCGTAAATGCAGTTTCTGAAGGGATTCAAATTTAATTGCACTGGTCGAGATCTTAAAAATACATTGTATCCCTAAACTTGTCACTACCAGATTTCCTTGCCCAAATTTGTCTGCACTTTTGTCTTATATTCTTCAATATTTCTGGAAATAAACCCGAATTTTGAAACCAACATTTGAGTAAATTTTCAGTGTTTACTCAAAAAATGGCTCTTCTGAAGGAAGTGCGGACTATAAATGGAACTAGTGGTAAAAAAGTTAAGGTCTGTTCCTAGACGTGCTAAAAGCCAAAATTCAGGATGTGATTCACTCATTATTAATGCGTGCATGTTGCAGTGACCTAACATCAGTGTTGCTTCATTAGTCAGTATAGTAGAGCATGTTTTGTCGGTTGAAAATTTACATCAAGTCTCATGGAATTATACAAGCAACAAAATCAATTAGCCTCATGATGAACCCCTTCACCTGTGTTTGCTTTGTATTTAAGAGTGTAGAGTTTGGTCGAGTGGTTAGCATGCTTGAGATTTCAATTTTCTCAGTTGAAATAATTGTCCTAACAGAAGAATAGCAACGAGCAAAAAAGTAGTATTACCTGAAACAGTTTCAGTTCATCATACATTAGGAAAGGACTTGTTGGAAAGGTTGTTCGTGCAGTGTACAACTTTCCCCCTTATTATTTAAAAATGAAACTTTTTTTTTTGAGCAAGTGATTTGTGGCTGAATGCAAGATGTAATTGAATCAGCCCATTATTGTTCTATACACAATACAGCTGCAGAAACTCACCAAATTGATTATTCATTAAAGGGGAGCAGAGGTGTGGCTTTTGACACTCTGTACATGAAATTTTAGATCTATGAATTAATTCTGTCGATAAAAACAACTTGTATGTGCTGCGAAATGCCCTAAATATCGGGTATAAAACGGGCTGTGAAGCAGACGACAAACGTCCGCTTTTCCTGGCGTCATTTCGCCAGTCAAATGACGTCACATTCATGCTAGTCTGTCAATCCCATAGAAATGCTACTATGAAAGACCTTGTTAACTGACTACTTAAAATTTGAAACATGGCGAAATGTTGTGCGTATGAATGCCATAACGATTCATGTTAAGTTTCTCGAAATCCCAAATAAAAAATCACATTGTTGTTGCGAGAAATCGGCAGAAGAACTAACCTGAAAATGAAGACCCGTACAGCGCTCTAGCTATAGTAAACAGTGAGGAATAAATACTGTACGAGTTAAAAACTAAATTAGAAATACGCTAATATCACTTGAACTACAGTAATCATTTCGCCCAACTTCCCACTTTTAATCGACCGCTTATCGCTTAATTTCCGACCGCACTGTATTTTCCGACCGGAAAACGACCGCATTTTTAACGTAATTTTTCTCTCACCGGCTCATTGAAAACACCGACCGGTCGCCCAAACACTGGTCACTTGCACAGGAGTGATCGAAATAGTGGTTTTGAGTGGTACAATTTGGGGATATAACGGGTACTAACTATTTTTAATTCCGCACTACTCTTC